AGATTGACCAACCCATCAAACTAATTACATCTCAGCGATCAGCGGAAACTGCTGCTTGCACTTGGCACCCACATGATTTTGGAATGGGGCCAAACACGGATCTTTCTCCACCCAGCAATACGTAAAGAAGTCTCCACCAGAACCCGGATCTGGCCACGGCAGGCTTTGAAAACCACTTTCCAACTCTTCTTGAACAGTTGCCTGTGGCATGGTAAGACATCTCGAAGAGAATACATAGCCACCCTTGTCTTTGACTTTGAAATTGTTTTTGACCTGGCTCCCACTCTGGCTCCCTGACGTGGCTTGGGCAAAGACGCGGGACTTGGACTTGGAGGTTCAAAGTCGGATGATTCTACACTTTCCAGCTCATGGGGAAGGCTGTCAATCGTCGACAAAGGTAGGTCAGGTAGACGTCCTGGTGGGGAATCTGAGAGCTCAAAGCTATCCGTGTCACTATCCGTTGATGCCGGGGCAAGCTCCCACTGATCCATACTCCATACAGCCATGGCAGCAAGTGGAATGGAGTCAAACAGAGGCACCGCTGAGATAAAATTTTGCTCTTGGACCAACACCACGCAACACCTGGTGTGCCACCCAGTGCATTTAGTGGCTATTCCATGTATCACACATACGCTTATATACATGTTTGGGGGTGTGAGCGCTCTTGTCAAAAGCCCGCCTCCGGCATTCCATCAATGTCCTTTGCGGCAGGGCCACGCAGTAGAACAAGCTGGTACTGCTCCCCATTGGCTGCAGTGACCTTCAAATCCTTGGGCTCGTCGGACAAGTGTAGTTGCAAAGCTATGCACTCATCATTTACCCGCGATGACTCAGTCACAAGGACCTTGGCATCTTTGGAAAAGATAAAGCGAGGTTCCCTTCGTAACCTCCAGGCCTCATACTTCTCCCGCTGCCTGCCGGTGAGATTCCTGCCCATGTTGGCTCGCTTCTCAAGGGTTTTTTGCCAGCTTTCGCTCTCTGTAACATGCTGACAAACTGAAATCTCCAAGATCCCACTGATCCATCGTGGAAGCACATGACGGGTTCCATCAGCATCTTGGAGCGCCCAGTGGTGGCTTGTTTCATCAGCCTGAGACCGCATTTCCAAAAGACATCACCTTCACATTACCCCTTTATATATATATATATGTTATATATAATATACATATATACATACATTGGTCTCCTTGGGCCATGGACATAATGCAAAAACTTTTTGCAAACAGATTGAGGCACAAGCTCTTCAGTACGCATTTGGCGCAACTCCAGGGTGTCCGCCTCAAGTTCGGGCATCTCTGTTAGCGCCAGGACATCGCTCATGGATCCCCTGCAACGCTGAAGGTTCGCTTGGGCTTGGTCCACATCTCCTCTGAGAATGCGTTGTGTTGCAATGATTCACACGTGGCCCGTGGCACAGGCAGAACACCAACACAAACTATATATATATGGCAGATATCAAATATCAAAATGCTCTTTACAAAGGCATGTCTCCATCAAAGCGCCACTGAGCAATGTCAGCAATAGAACAATAGCCACGTTGCACCCAGCCAAGCCATATGATCTTGTTGTGCCTGGGTAGCTTCAAAGGTTTTGACTTAGAACATCTATTAAAATTGAAATGATAACCTGTTTGTCCTTTGTGAAAGCATATTTTTGGGGGCGTGTCCAAAAAGACATGTTTGTTGAAAAGACAGCTATTTCAACATATACAAGAGACGGAGAAGACCAAGAGAGCTGCTGAACTGCAAATGCATCTGCCCGGATTGAGTCTTCCAGCGGGCACCTGTGAAAAATGGAGAGGGATGGCAATGATACAGCCTCTAGACGGGAAAAGTCCTATACAAATGAGACGGAAACAAGCGCAAACACAAAGACTATATGTATACATATACCTGTGCACAGACACATGCGCGCACACACACACACAAACGCAGGCTGCTGTTGGAGTATTTCCCTCCAGCTCCTACACATATAAAGTTAGCAAGAACTATGTGAAAGCCTTCAAGCCTCTCCACTTAGAACATCGGCCAACTATATGAAAAACATACAAGAGCTTTAAATGATTTGCTAGTAGTCGGTGAAAACAGTCCTAGCACAAGAGACAAGAGACCAGTCGTCAACATATTGTATTATTTTCATATATATATATACCAATATATACATACATATATCCAGATTATGCTGCCAGCGCGCTGTGTTGATGGGTTAGCCTGGAGCCCCATCTGAAGTTGATCCATGCGGCGGCGCAGCATTGGATACTCACCCCATTGTACTGCAACCCGGAGGTAGGACTTGGTAATGGAGTGCATGGCCTGGTGCCACGAATCATTTGGGGCACCTGCTGCCCCAAATCCGCCTGGTATCAGAACCTCCGACAGTCCCGACATCAACTCCTTTGCTTTGTCTTTTTCCGTGCAATGTTCTAAGTGTGAAACTGCTGTAGGAATAAACCCGCCCAAAATGTTGTTGCATTGGGTACATATCATATGCGTACATATTCAACATTTTCATGGCTAGAGCTGAACCACAACTGCAAAAACATGTTCCTTTCAAAAGCGAGATTCTACATTGTGTTCCTCGGACCAACGCTTCTGGATCTGCAAATAGCTCTTGGACATATGAGCGGCTGCCTGGTCAAAGAAGCAAAGTGCTCTGCTTTTTGCCGTCAGGCCCAGCTGCTTGCGCCTTGTCCTGATCTCCTGCAGGCTGCAAGAAAACCTTGTTTTTCCTCTATCTGAAGAAATAGCATGAGTTGGAACATACATGGCCCGGGGGGTAAGTTTTAGGATGACCAAGCTCCTGCGCCAAATGCTCCAAGTAGCGCACAAAAGTTGCCTCATTCCAGATATGGCTCCGTGGTTGAGGCGTGTCGATTGCCACAAAGCGGCTGAGCTCATCGTTTAACCGTCGACCAGTAGACTCTGGAAGCTGTCCATCCCGGACTGTTATGAATGACCTGCCCATCCATCCGTCCATAAATGACAAGGTCGTTACTGTCCTTGGCAGTCGCCAGTCTTGAACCATGGCGCTAGCCGCCGAGCCTTCCGTGACCATGGGCTTAGCCATCTGTGACTTTACCTGCTTCACCTGCGGGTCGGCCTTGGTCAACGGAAGGTCTAGGCTTCTTTCCAAATTGTGCCTGACCCGTCTGAGAAGCATAGATCGAGCCAATGGGTCTCGTGCCATGTGCTTTTGGTCTGGAGGTTTTTGGAGAGAACGTTTGTGTGGTCGGAACCGCATAGACCATACTTGGTCAAAGTTGCAGACAAGGCGTGGTTCAATCAAGCCATCTTCACAAAGCTTCTTGATGTGGCTGCGTACTGCCTCTAATGAGGGGCTGTCAAAGGGCAAGTGAGCCCCTGGCTTCTCATTGGACCGACTCCGGATTCCAAAGCAATTGCACAAGCGTTGTGCCTGTTTCCTGAGTTGGAGAAAAACACATACATATGTATATATATATATACAAAAGCTGTTGTTGCAGCGTATGCTTAAAGCAACTGGGCTGAAGCCTAAAGCGGAAAGGAAAAAGGAAGACCCTTATATATATAAATTATATATATACATAGTGACGGACAACCGCTTAGAACAAACAACATCACTTTCCTAGGCGGCCGTTTGGTTTTGCAGCTCTTCCCAGGTGTTCATCTTTTGTGGGCCCCCCTGTTTTGGGGACCCACTAAGAAAAACGCCACCGGCGAGACTGGAATGTGTGTGTTTTCTTTATATAATGGGGGGAGATATTGCATAGGTGGAAAGGATTAGTTGCTCGAGGATATGCTTAGAACAATTGAGGTAAAATCCTCACTATATAAGTGGCAGTGGGCAACAAACAAAATGTACTTTGAAATGTTGGCAAAAGTCAGAAGTGCCCCATCAGACTCTGCTAGATGCACCTTCTTGAGGAGTTTCTCAGCGATCTGACTCATGCCTGAAAGCTTCTCCTCCAGTTCATCTCCACCAAGCTGAGAGAAGCGCTCATCATTTTTTGAAAGCCAGGACTTGACCATCTCATGCATAGAGTCTATGCACTCATTCCAAATGCCACAGCAAAAGGTGATCGTGTTCTTGACAAACTGAATCCCAAGTTCCTCTCCACATTCCATCCGCTCCATTACAAGCTCCTCCACAATTTGCTTCAGGAGCCAAGGCATGCTCTGCTCCCCTGATGAGGCAACTTCATGCATTTGATGCTTCAAGGTCAGGTTGAGCACCCGTCGCAGGCTGTTGGGCAGCTCACGGTGGCGAGAGCAAAGGGATGGAGCCGTGTTGCAAAGAAGGGTCCAATGTTGTTCCTCTCTTGCACGCCCCCACTTGCTGGGGTAGGTGCAACCGGCAAAGTAACCAGGAAGACCCAGCTTTTCTACTTCTTTGGCGGGGTGCTTCGCCCCGTTGGCTTCAGCAGCCTCCCAAGCCTTGAAGATGTCTTCTTTCTGCTTTATGGTGACCATAGCTTTCTTGCCCTTGGCCTTCTTATTTCCTGGTCCTTGACCCTTCTTTTTTAGCTTGGGCATTGGGATCAAGGCTTGCTTGCCACGAACGCGGCGGGTTGGAACAAGCTGTCCTTCCGCTGTCAGTCCTTTTGGACCTGTCCCTGGTGACCGCTTGCGCTTCTTGTGTCCTTTCCCATCGGCATGGTCTTCCACCGCCTCTGGTGGCTGAAGCTCTGGTTTTGGACAGAGCTGTTGGGATTCTTTTCCACTGTCGTTTGTCACACCTGGCTTGCCTGCAGCAGAATGACTGCAAGGCTGATCCTTCAACCAAAGGGAAGTAGAAATGGAAGTATCCTTTTGCTTATCCCTTTTGCCAACCTCCAGCCAAGAACCAGCGCTGGCAAAACTTGCCAAGACCACGGCCTGAACGGCCGTGCCTGTCATGGCATTCCCTGCCAACTTCTGCGCCAATCCGTTTGTGATCATTTGGTCGAAGCAAGCTGGGTTGTTCACATCACAGCGCCATATGGCTTGACAGCCTAAGATCTCTTCAGGCTCCAAGTATCGGTGAAGCTGGTTTGAGTAGATTGCATGTGATGGAGTGATACAGGTGGAGACTTCGTGCGCCCATTCCGCACGAGAGACTGAAGAAGAGCAATCAATAAAGATGTTATCGTCCTTTCCCACCTGAGCTGCCACCGGGTCCCCAAAAAATGCTACCGGGTCCCCAATACCTAAACTGTCTCGCCCCTTCTGTTCTAAAATATGTTCTAAGTGCACACATGCCAAGCCACCTGTTGAGCCTTCGCCAGCGCTTTTTTTCAGCACCTCGCATTCCCTCTTTGAGCTGAGCACTGTCGCGGGTAGGGACTTGTCAAAGCATTCATCCATCTTGAAGTGACAATGAGTCTGCAAAGAGTGAAGGGCTGAAGCAAATCCATGCTTGTATTGAGCATCCGTATCACAGCCACTGTTTGCCATGGCCACATCATAGACGCGGTTTCTTCGTTGTCTCACCAAAAAGTTCTGTGAGTCTAGAAGTGTCCACACCTGCAACACACACACGCTTAGAACAGTGTCCGGTGAAACAAACAAGTTACTATATACATCTATATACACATATATATATGTACGTACACATTATATAACTTAATTACAATATAATGTACAGTTTCACATGAGCAGTGATACAGCCAAGATACCCACTGGTAGCCGGCGTCTCGAGCATGCTCCTCTATCACCTCAGGGTTTGGCAAAGCCCCAGCCATTGGCCATGCAAACAAATTGCGGAGCATAACATGGAAATACCCTCCCTCCCTCCCTTTGTCCCTCCCTCTCCCTCCCTCCCTCTCTCTCTCTCTCTCCTCTATCATATTTGTTGGGGGTAATCTTTCTCAAATTGGCCTCTACGGCTGGTCGATGTAGTGTGCCGTCATCATCCCGCGTTCTCTCCGATGCTGTCTTGACATTCTCATACACACAGGCCGTCGGACAGAGCTTTTCCACTACCTGAAGCTGATAGATTGAACAGAAAACAATGAAAGGACAGCTATTCTTGAGGGTGACTCACTGACTAATTATACATTATAGTTTCCTCTACAAGGATGGCAGTTTGTTATTCTACAAAAGTGCTTGAAACAGAAAGTTGGAAGAAGTGCCTCATGTTAGTCAGGGTGCTGTCTTGAAGCCATACTTGTAGGTTGCTGAGCTTGTTCCAGAACCTGGGTCAAAGGAGTCTTCATAGCATCCAGCTCGGGCAGTTCGGTTGCAACTGAGCTTGCCTGGGCGCAGTGCACTTAGAACAACCTCTTTTTGATATGTGTTGATCATATACTTTGAGGCCAAACTATGCCAGAATGATATGTGATACCATAATTTGAGTTTGAATGACACAATTTACACATGCAGGGAGCCCTAGCTAGTTTTCTGCGGTTTGTAAAAATCTATCTAATCTATCTATCTATCTATCTATCTATTTGTGTGTATGTTTGTTTGTCTATCTATCTATTAGCTATCTACCTACCTATCTATATACTATATACACTCACCTCCTTCTGCCAATCCAACGCTGTAGTATGTGTTTCAAAGAATACCCTCCTCACTAGCCATGTCGCTCATGTCACGGCAAGATGGACCGCATATGAAGAGATCCAACTCCTGGTGAGATAGAGCATGATCGCGCCGGCACCGGTAGCAGAAGGCAGTCCCCGATGAGATAGACTTAACATCCTCATACACATGCTCTGCCTTGTGTGCCTCTAGGATGTATTGACGCTTGGCCTCTTCACATTCCACGGAGAACACGTGACGCATTCCAATGGAAACCTTGC